AGACTGTCACAGGTCGGCTCAGTAGATCGGGAGGTGAGCGATCACATACCGGAGTTCGCTCACCTCTCGATTCTGTCCCTGCAGAGAGTGGTGACTATCAGTCACGGCTCCCTGCAGGGATTCCCCCCTCCCCGCTCAGATCCTTCAGCGCTGACTGAAAGGAACGGACAGGGAGGGGGCGGGTACAGCTGGTTCTGCCTCTAGATAGGCAGAGCCAGCTGTCAATCACGCAGCTGGGTGGATCAGGACATGTAATGTCGGGACCCGTCCCGGTTGCGGCGGTCTCAGTATATCGCGAGCTGACAGGGGGAGGGGCTGGATTCCCCCCTCCCCGCCAGCGCTGACTGGTGGAGCGGACGGGGGAGGGGACGGGTACAGCTGGCTCTGCCTCTAGATAGGAGGAGCCAGCTGTCACTCACAGAGCTGGGTGGATCTCGGCACAATTGTCGGGATCCGCTCCGGCTGCGGCGTCTCAGTATACCGCGAGCTGTAGCTCCCTATATACTGAGCTTAGGGTGACGGGAGGACGCTAGTTTGTGTCCTCCCGTTACCCTAAGGAGAACTATGGGGAAAAACACTGACCTCGTAGTTCTCCTTTAACAATAATATATCTGACCCAGCGGTCCTCTCTGTAGTGCTGTTCCACATTGGCGGCCCCTCAGGCTCTCGGCTATCCCAGCCTCACCAGTTCTCCCAGCCTCCCTGGCTGTCTTCATGTGCCTCCAGCAGACACACCACCTGATTCCTCTTTGGGGGAGTCCTCCTGATTCCTGAACACCGTCTGTTCCTATTTCCCAGCAGGAGCTCATCGGGGCGGGGCCCATCAGCGACTCAGCGACCGTGGACGGAGAGGAGGCGGACAGGTAAGGAGTGCGACCAGCCCACCTGAGGGCGACCCTGCAGAGCCCACCATAGAGAGTCTATGGTGGGCTCTGCAGGTTCACCCTCAGGTGGGATCTCGAGTGGGCTCTGCAAGGGGTATAACTAGAAATCACAGGGGCCCCATATAAAATTTTGCTATGGGGCCCTGTGATTTCTAGTTACGTCCCTGACGCCGCCTGTTCCTATTTCCCAGCAGGAGCTCTTTCCCCTAGCCAGCACCCTTCGTAAGGGTTGTGCAGACCGGTGCTGGATACTGATAAAGCCTGGACCCAGGACTGCAAATCCCATCCCTCCTGAATCACTTTGAAACCTCCCGGTTCCAGGATCCCAGGCGGAATCCAGACAAACCCCTTGTGTCCCGACACC